ACCCTAAAAAAAAAAATTAGGGGGGCTGGGGATGTGGCTCAAGCGGGAGCGCGCTCGCCTGGCATGGGTGCGGCCCGGGTTCGATCCTCAGCACCACATACAAAGATGTTGTGTCTGCCGAAAACTAAAAAAATAAATAAATATTAAAATTCTCTCTCTCTCTCAAAAAAAAAAAAAAAAAATAGGGGAAATAGAAAAAACTAATTTGATCGACCCTTCTCCCTCAAACAACAACAAAAAAATATCTAATAACATATGCTGACTATTTGCTGCTTCTAGCTAACTTTCCCTACCTTAAAGAAATCTTTATTTGCATTAACCTCAATATTTTATAATGCTTTGATCAAACAAGATCTTACATTTGACTTACGTTAAGGAAGAATTTCAAGGATTATTTGGGGGAAAATGTGGTATATCTCAAAATATTATTCAATAGGCCATAAGATGCCAACTGCAAGCTGCAACTGGCGCTATCAATTGTGCTCCTGCAGAGGGAGTCCTGAAACTAGGGCTGACAGAAGCTGATGTCAACCCAAGATAAATCCCACAAATCTGCTGTATAAATTCATGTCAACTCACAGTGAAAGTTTGAATGTTGGCAAGTATCAGTATTTGGAGACCTTGATATTCCTACACAGGCACCAAATCACCACTTGTAAGGGTCAGTAAATTCCAACATCAGGGAAAAAGGCTCATTCGTATGCTTTCTGCCTAACTATATGTATGCCAACAGTGATAATGGTACTATGTTCTAACAATGTGCCTTTCCAGACAATTTGTGTGTGTTATGTATGAGATACAAGTTCACAGAAAATAATCAAGCAAATCTGAGCAAGCTCACATTCCTTCATTCTTGCTATAACCACACTTAAAAACACTGATCACAGATGAAAGTCTGCTAAACAAACACCTACAGCATGGAACTATGTGTAAAGGGCATAATTAATAAGATTACCCTATTAGAATACAGTGATTTCTGGGGTCATAAGTGTACCCTATTTAAAATCTAAGTCTTCAAATTTTAAAAGTTCAGGTTGCAACGGTAACTGTAAAAACAACGAAGAAAGTCTGGTCTCAGGACCAAAACAGGAAAAATGAAAAAGCTAAAACAATGCCCTATTCACAAATAGGCACTTGGTAAACTTATTTTATTGCACTTAGTCAAGGATACAGATCCCAAAGCTAAAACACAAATACCTCTCATCCCTGATGCTTCTTTTACTGTATGACTCATTTAACACAGATTCACAACCATACCCGCTGCATCCTTCATTTCCAAAGATTTCCACTAAGGGACCATAACTCTTCCTAAGTCACATGACCTCATACTATGCCTCACCTACCCTGTGGTAACCAACACAGCAAAGAATTTCTAAAACTGAAATAATTCCAAGGAGCAAGAATGTTTAGAGGAGAAAGCCAGAGAGCTCAAAGGCAGAATTAAAAAAAAAAAAAAAAGCAAAAAATAAAAAAAATCAGATTCAAGGGATGTTTCATCTAATTACATCATTTACAGCTGAGAACCTCCAATGGCTGTCCCTCCTTAGGCACAGCCTCTAAGCCCTGTCCAGCCTAAAACCCCCAGAACATTCCACTCTCATGATGGTCCCATCATTCTCACATGTTTCAAACAATATTTTGATTTTCCTTGCATTCATACCTGCTGTTAACCCCACCTTAAATGCTCAGTAAGGTAACAGAAAAAGCAAAAAACTCTGAGGTCTTATTTTCTGAATCTGGACATTGTATCTTTGTGTTTAAGTGCTCTAAAATGTTTCCACATCCAGCAAAAGGAGACCTGGTTTCACATAGGAAGGTTAAATGAGATAATATATGTATGCAAAGTATTCCACTGTGCCTATAATTTAAAAAAAAAAAAAGCATTAAACAAGCATTTTTCTGGCTCCCTCTATATCATCTGAACTCATTATTCTTCAATCTCTAATCTAAATACTCTCCTTTCTATAAAACCTTACTTAACCCTGTGTTCTATTTACTGCCATCCCCCTCAAAAAAAAAAAAAAAATCATCCACTCTTCTGCTTCCTCTGGCACTTTAAAGAAATTTCTATTGAATTTTAATTGCTTGTTCATGGGTCTTTCTTCTCCATTAGGGGATGGTCACCTCCACGATGGAATTTTTTTCTAATTATTGCCACCCCTAATCAGATAGAACAGCAATGGAAGCTTTAATTAGCATTTGTTAAATAGATAATGAATCATTCATTAAACTATTACAACTAAAGCCTCTAGGTGACCTTTTAAATATTGTGATAATGTACTACTTTTGCCTTATGAAAAGACCAATTCTAACAAAGTGGTAAGTGGTACCCTACCAGAAGTGGAAATTTGTTAACATTTCTGCTCACTATCCATCCACTTACTCAACAAATGTCTCCAGTGTATCAGGAATATGGGGAAGAAAAGCAGCAAAACTCCCTGTCCCCATGGGCCTTATATTTACCACGATATACTTAGGGAAGAAGTTATCATGGCAAACTTATCTGCAAAAGGTACCAAAACCACAAATTATTACTTGACATTTACCAAGTATCAAAGAGCAAAAACAATCATAAACCCCTGATTACAGATAAAATTTTTAGTTAAAAAAAACATGAATTTAATCCAGACTTAGTGTATTAAACAACCAAAACTTATTTAATGTCCCTCACAAATGCTCATATTGAGGACCCATTTCCTTGTAGTTAAAAATAATTCTTCTGAGTTCTTATGAGTTTTAAGAATTTCTTATGTACAACCACATGCTTAACAGAGATCCTAATCTGAAGTATTTTATCTAATGTTTTTAATGGGGCCTACTTTAAAGCCTGTTCGTGACCTTATATTATTTTTTGTTTTCTAAATGAAGAGGATTTTAACAAAATTTGGCACCAAGGATTCTACCCTGAGTGGTGTTTTCCAGAAGAACTACAATGGGCCCTACTAGGACTGAATCAGGACCATGTCCCAAGCTGGCCTTGCCTGTTCAGCCTAGGAGCCCAGAGACCACAGAACGAGGGTGTAAGTGACCTCCACAGTTCTTGCACATCCGTATTCCCAAACCTTTAACTGCTTCATCCTTTTTTGTCACTTTCTCCTTGGTTCCTAAGCACCTGTGCTTTCCTTTCAGTATTCATCCCCTTGCTTTGAAGGTCCTTTCCTCACTTCTGCTGTTAAAATACTCCGAGGTGTCAACCTTCCGCCTCCGGGGTAAGGGCTTCTGGTGTCAGCCTGTGAGGACACCCCTGATCTCTGAGCTCATCAGCCATCAGATAACCTCTCTGAAGCAGCTCAGCAAGTTCTTCCTTGCTTTAGTCCCACCCTGCTGCACTTCCAGGGGAGTCTGCTCTCCTATTATGTGCACAACATCTGCAAGGGGACCTGATACACTAGAGCAGCTCAATTTTCTTCGTCAGAAAAGAGCAAAGATAATGCTCAAATTTTTATCCAATACTGGAAAGTTTCACTGAGAGATCTCTGCAAAATATCAATTTCAAAATCACAAATAAGATCCAAGTTTACTGACCAAATCTTGCTACCTACAATGTTCTATGACAGAAAAGAAAAAAAAAAAATCCAGATGTCCCAAGGAGACAATGCTGGGAAAGAATTCTGGTCATCAGACCCTTAAGGCAGGTTAACTGTTGAAGGATTCTGCTGAAGGCTCAGGTAGTTTCCACACAAAGATTTAATCTCAGCCGGAATGAGTTTGTTTTGGCCATTTGGAACTTTATAGGACAAATTCACATTTTACTGACAGCTGTGCCCTGCATCACTAGTTAATCCTACAAATGAACAACAAAAAGAAAGTCCTTGATGACAGATTTTAGATACAAAGTGCACGGAGGTGGGTTTTAGGTTCATGGTTCCTGCATGCAGAGTTGAATAAATGACATTGGCTTCCCCTTGGAACCTGAGGAAAAAACGTGAAAAGCACTGACATCAAACAAGAGGTGAAGGAACAGATCAGCAGCAGCCCCAAGTCTAAAGTGCTCTCACCAAGCCCGAGCCACAGGGGAGAAAGACTTCAACAGCACCCTAAAGGAAACAAAACACCAAATCATGAAGTGAAACATTAAAAAAGCATCAGTGGTGTCTTAGAAAAATTACTGGTGAGATTTAAGTCACAACCCTCCTCCCTTTCCCTCAAAAGAGCTTTCTAATAATACTGAGCACATTCCAAATAGCTTCCTTCTGCCAAGAACTTGCCAATTGTACCTCCCCTGCTCAGCAAGCAGGGTGAAAAAAATCAATGCCTAGGGAACCTTAATCCCTTCATTTTAAAAGTAAATTGCAAACATCCATCTTGCTGGGCATTTATCCACAGGAGTAGCTCCTAAATGAATTTAGGAAGTGAACACGATCTTTAATAGATAATTTGGTTCCCAACTGGAAAGCAGGAGATGCAAAACAAAGAGGAGAATGGGTGAATATATATATATATATCCAAAGGAAAAAGTCAGAGGAGTAGGGAATTCATTTCGGAAAAGGGTGAAAACTGAAAATACAAAAAAAACAGGAAAAGCAATTATTCCATCTAAAGATAAATGACTAAAGAAGGAAAGAGAAGAGTAGCAAAGAATAGCTTCATAGTTCAGAATTCATTCTTAAAAGTACCCTATTCTGACTTTACGACTGGCTAGGTTCCGGGTCCGGAACTCGGGGGGAAAAAAAAAAGCATCAGGTTAGGCTGGATCAAGGAACAAGCTGGCTATGGGGGTTGGTGGAAGCGCTTAGAGAGACAACAACTGAGCAGAATGATCCGTGGGCGATCTAAGATTCCACGTGGGTTCGGGGAGACTGCAGCGAATCCCTCACACCCACCCAAGGGGGAGCTTTGGAGACGCTACTAGCCTATGGGGTGTGAGGGCAAGAGAACTAGAGGATCAAGGACCAGCAAGACCTGACAGAGACCCCCGTGGGGCGCAAGTAACGAAGACACCCGGGTCAACGACTGTGCTGCCGGGGTCCTGGAGCGCCCTTCGCAGTGCCCGAACTCACCGATGCCCAGTCCCACGACCAGGCGGCCGGCGAGCAGCGTCTCCTTGTTGTTCGCGGCGGCCAGCACTGCGGAGCCGGCGGTGAAGAGGGCACTGGCCAGGAGGATGGCGGCGCGGCGGCCGAAGACGCCGTTGAGGGCCCCGCCGGCCAGCGCCGAGACGGCGGCCGCCCCCACCGTGCTGGACACGAGCAGCTCCTGCCACAGCGCGTCCAGGCTGAGCTGCCGCTTGAGCAGCAGCATGGCCCCGGACACCACCCCGGTGTCATAGCCGAACAGGAAGCCGCCCAGCGCCGAGAAGACGGCCACCACGTACACGAAGGCGGGGGTCTCGTCCTGCTGGAACTGCCGCCGCGCCGCGCGCTCCAGGTCCCCGACGCCGCCGCCCGCGCCCGCGCTCTGCAGGCTGGCGCTCGACTCCGCGGCCGCCAGCAGGCTGCGCTCCCCGGCGCCGCTCGCCGCGTCCGGCTCCGGCTGCTTCCTGCGCCGCTCGCCCATCAGGCTGCTCAGGCTCCGCAGCGTGTACTCCACATTCTCGCTCGCCTTGCGGGACATAGGGCAGGGGCCCGGGGCTGCCCGGGGGATGAGGAGGCTCCGGGTCGGCGGTCTCGGAGGGCTGGACAGCCCGACCCGGCGGGAGCAACCGCCGCCGCCTTCCCGCTTGGGGCTCCCGCTCCGGCTGCCACCGCAGCGCCCGCCGTCACCGCCGAGACCGGGAGAAAGTTGCTGCCCGCTGCGCTCGCGCGCTGCGGAGTTGGAGCCTGGCGGGTCTCACTCCAGACGCACGCCCTGCGCCTGCCTGCCGAGCTGGCGCTGCGGAGCGGACAGGAGGCGGGGCCGGGGGTCACGTGCAGCCCGGCCGGCGGGGCGGAGCGGGGCGCCCTCCCTAGGCGGGGCCAGGCACCACCCTCCCCGGACCCTAAACCCCACCCTCCTGGTGGGTTGCGACTGCCAAAGCCATACTTATTCGTTTAGGGCGCAGGCACCTGGACATAATTAACCCAGGCTTCGCGGCTGCAGCTGGGAAGCAGGCCCGGGGGCGGGGGGGTGGGATGCCGCTAAGAGGCTGCCAGACCCGGGAAGCTACCCACAAGGATTGCACGGTTTGGAGGGTAGGAGGACAGTCAGTATACCAGCCTGTCCAGCCTCCTAACGTTCTGGGGATAGCCGGGGTTGAAAAGGGACTGGGAAAAAATATCCTGGTATGGTACACAGCAAATAGCCGTCCTTTTATAGTATTGTGATATTACTCAGTGTGTTCCTTCCCTGACATTAAATGAGCTTATTCTCGAGAAATTCATGACCCGTGTCCTCCCATTTCTATACTTTGTTGTCTCATTTCCAGTTCCTCTTGGAGTTATTCTTGCTTTAAAAACATAGTACATCGGACTCTATGAGATCAGAGAGAACATATCTCCCCAAAGGAATTTCAAACCTCCTCTTCTGGATCCCTGGTGTATAGAAGAAAATTCACATGTATGCATTCCACTCTTATATAACCAGGTTATTCCTACTGGTAGAAATAAAACCCTAGAATCTGCTTTGTGATTTGATTGGCGATCTCCCCTTGACTTCTCCGACAAGCCAAAAAAGAAGGATATCTTCCCTCCCGAAAAACCCTCACGATTACCCTCCATTTGAAGGAGCTATTTTAACAGTACCATTTGCTTGAAACAAAGCAGTTCGACCTCACTTGAGGCCAATTGTTTTAACTGTTGAGTTAATTACCAGATGTTGATTTGGGTTTTCTTTTCCTTTTCTCCTTTGATTCCAATACTCTAAAGAGAAAACTCGTCCCTCTGATGTACTTTCATTCCGACTGAGGGAACCAAGTGAAATACCATGGTATTCTATTCCAATTCCAGTGTTCTTTTATTACTCCTATTTGAACAAAGGTTTCTTAGCATGGGGCCTATTTTTCATACAGTCTTCCTTGTAGAGAAAAGGATTTTTGTCATCCCGTTTGCAATAAAAAGTTATATTGGCATTTCTCAAAATTGCTTTCATTTGGATTATCTGTCATGATTATCTCCATAATATGGTGCTTTTTGGAAACTAGGAAAAATGAATTAATGAGCTCAGAGGGCTTAACTCTTTAAACTTATTGTAAGACTTTAAAGCAAAGCTCTGCCATCATTCCCAGGGATCAGTTAAACAGAGACAGCCCTCAACTCTGTAGCAATGAACTCTGTAATATTCAGACTTCAGAAAAGATTCAGATGAGAGCGCGCCTTTTTCCTTGCCTGCTGTAGTAAAACTGCACCCCCTGGTGGTAAGCCGGTTGGCATGGCTCCTGAAGACAAGGTGTCCGGTGTCCCACATGAGCAGCAGCTGACTGTAAGTTTCTTCTTTTTGAGATGAAACAATCTTTTATTAAACTCAGTTGTAAGAAACACCTTGGCTCTTGACCATCCCTTACAATAAATTCAGTTTTGGGGTCACAGAACACTACACTACCACTGAAAGTTGGGTAGTTTTGTATCAGACCATTGTATACCTGTGGTCACAATATATCTGAGAAATGTGATGTCAAAACAGGCATCAGAGTCCAGCACTCTTCTTGGCCCTTAGGGGGAGCCAAGTTCAGTTTAGCACCAGAGAATGAGTCTAAAATGGAGTTTCCTGAAGCCTGTACAAGTTGCAGACTATGGTGAAATGAAAGGCCATAGGCTGAGAACCAAAAGGCACAAAGTATGGCTACTACTGTCTGTTTCATGGTAGAACATTCAGTTGACCACTTGATTAGTTTGTGCCTCATTTGTTCTCATTTGCAGAGCAGATAATGGGGATGTAACAGCTATTCATTTAGTATAGTAAGTGTGAAAAGGTATTTTTGAAATATCATTAATTGCAACTTAAGAGTAAACTGTAAGCATCATTGTTTGTAAGATGAATTCTAAATCCCCAGTTTTAAGGACATTTGTTTTATAAACTTCAGAACCCACCATAGTAAAAGGAAAGAAGAAAGACAAGTTTTACTTCTAATGCTACACATTCTGAATATAGGGCAAAGACATTGGCAATTAATACAACATACATATTTGTTGTTGGGCTGGGGATGTAGTTCAGTGCTAGAGTGATTGCCTAGCATGTACAAGGTCCTGGGTTTGATCCCTAGAACTACACACAAAAAATTGTTGGTTTTGTCATTGGGAAAGAATGGAGGAACTGGTAGCAGAATGTTTTCTTTATGCTTACTGGATGTTTATTTTTGATTCCATGAATAATGCATCCTAGGGCTGGAGATGTAACTCAGTGGTAGAGCACTCGCCTGTTGTGAGCAAGACCTGGGTTTCATCCCCAGTGCTGACAAAAAGAGAGAGGAGGCTAAGATTGTAGCTCAGTGGTAAAGCACTTGCCCTATATGCGTGAGGCCCTGAGTTTGATCCTCAACAACGCATTAAAATAAATAAATAGAAATAAAGATATTGTGTCCATCTACAATTAAAGTAAGTAAGTGTGAAAAGGTATTTTTTGAAATATCATTAATTGCAACTTAAGAGTATATTAAAAAAGAAAGAGAAATGTCTTCTTGTCATAAAGCAGTCTAATAATAAAGATAACATAAAAGATCCTTCTGAATTCCCTTTCCTACTTCAACTTTGAAATACATCTTTCTAAAACTCTCTCTGCATTTACCAGCATATGTATATATGTACACAGTAAAACAGGTTATAAGAGGTGCAAAACACAAATCAAACTGGCTTAAGGCAAAATAGCTGGGGAGAGGGAGGATTTATTGGCTTTTGTTTCTGAAAAGTCTACATTAAGCTGGCTTCAAGTGCGGGTGGATACAGGACTTAAGGATATCAACAAGCCATCATCCGTCATTCCACTCTGCATCTCTCTGCTTAGCTACATTCTCAAATTTCATGTGGTGCCCAAGTGGCTATAGCAAGCTCCAAGCTCTATATCCTTTTGCACTTATGTCTGAGAGGATGGGAAAAGAGCTTCTTTCTCTGAAGCCCTCACAAAATTCTTCTTGTATCTAATTGAATCTTGCAATTTCATGCCCATTCCTGACCTAATTACTGTGACTGGGAGATTACAGTTTGATAAGGATAGGGTTAGAGCCAATCAAAGCCCACATCTTGAGCTTGAGCAGAGGTAAATCATATAGCCAAGATTGTAGATGGTCTTCCCATCAGAAATTTGGTGTACAGTTTTGCCAGTGATGGGCAAATTAATGCTGTCAGTAAAACAGATTTAAGTTGCCACAGGTACCTGGTAAAGAAATATGGCATGAAATCCAAGCAAAGCATTTCAAGGAGGGACTGGCTAAGAGATCAATGTATTGCCCATAGATAGAAAAGACTCAACGCATAAGAAATCATTGAATTTGACCACTAGAAATTCAATGAGTGGTAACTACTGAGATTAGAACAATGTTTTGATGACATCATCTTCAGGAAACCTAGTAATGTCAGAATTCAACTATTGTTCATTTATACTTTCTGTACTTAAACTAGGCATTCGTAGTAATAGAATAAATATCAATAGGTGTAAAAGTAAAGCAGGGCTCTCATGATGTGTAAAAGTGCTTAGGTATTTAATACTTCCCCCTAAGACTTGCCTTCTCTTATGATTTGGATATGTGGTGTCCCCCCAAAACTCCTGTATTAATGCAGGAATATATTGAGGTAAAATTATGCAATTATGAGAGCTATAACCTAATCAGTCATCCTAATTTGAATGGACTTACTGGGTGGTAATTTGGCAGCAGGTGGGCACTACTGGAGGCTACCCTGAGGGGGCATAGATTCCCTGTGGCCCTTTCCCTCTTCCTCTCTCTGCTTTCCAGGCTGCCTTAGCAGACTAGTAGTGCTCCTCTGCCACACCCTTACACCCTTCTGCCAGGATGCTATCTATGCCTCATCTTGGGCCAGGAGCAATGGAGTCAGTCAACCATAGACTGAAACCATAAGCCAAAATAGACTTTTCCTCTTCTAAGTTTGCTTGTCTGGTATCTTGGTCACAAGGGTGAAAAGCTAACACATCTTTCTTTGATTTGCTCTGAGGAGAAAGAAGAAAGATATGGAAGGAGGGAAACAGGAATAAAGGCAAAAGAAGAAAAGATGGTCAATAAACCCCAAAGGAAAATGCTCTGTCTAGATTTGCCACTACAGGAAGGCAAGGAGCAGGAAGCCTAAAATAGATGGGGCGTGGATGACATTTTAAAGCATATTGATCCTGCCCATTAATAACCATGACCCAACCAGGAGTAGAACTTGTGACATATCATCATAAGATCTGCTCCTTTGGATAGGGAGGATTATGATGCATGTTCCCCCATCAGAAAATTATAAGATAGTCATTTCAATCAAGAGCAAATTAAAGGAAGGAGCTGGGACATACCTCAGTGGCAGAATACTCAACTAGTATGTATGAGAACCTGGATTCTATCCCCAGCAACAAAAAAGCAAATTAGTGGGAATAGAGAGTGTAAGCTTCGTTTTCTAAAAGTTTCTCTGAAAATACAATAAGAGAGAGAATAGCTTAAGGAGTTATCAGGATCAAGAGAAAGGGAGGGGGCGGGAGTTAGGCATGACTTGAATTTATTCAAGATGTGGAAGTGAAAAGGATTCAATTCAAGAGCCTGACTGATTCATAGCAAAGTCCCAAAGAAGACAAGGAGGATAAGAGCAAGAGCATAACAGGCAAAGCTAACCTAGCCATAAGGAGGAGGAGAGACACTATTTCCTCTGAGAAAAAGGGTAAGCAGAAAAGAAAAGTAGGAAAGAAGATGATGTTAGCAATAAGAATGGGGAAGGAGTTCTATTAACTGGAGAATAGTAGGTGTTTGGGGCTTAGGGGAGAACCT